CTCTCTCTCTCTCTCTCTCTCTCTCTCTCTCTCTCTCTCTCTCTCTCTCTCTCTCTCTCTCCCTCTGTTTTGTGATACAGGGTTTCTATAGCTTTGGAGCCTGTCCTGGAATTATCTCTTGTAGACCAGACTGATCTCAAACTCATAGACATCCACCTGCCTCTGCCTCCCGAGTGCTGGGATTAAAGGTGTGTGCCTCTACCAGCAGCTGAGCCTTTAGTCTTACACAAGTTCACAACTTGAACTCTTTGTGTGTCCAATCTATTGGTGTGATCAGAGAGCCCTGAGCTCAGATGGGGTTGGGTTTTTTTTTAATCATAACAAAGATAGGGATGAGGAATTTCTAAGGTTCAAGACCCCTTGTCTAGGGGTGTCCTGGTAAGAAGCCATGGGTGTGTGCTGGCAGGTGATTCTATTTACAATGGTTGGAGCATTAGGAATTTCCTGTTCCTGGGTGGTGCCTGGTGGTCTCAATTTGTGTGTGTGTGTGTTTTTTTTTTTTTTGAACCAGGTATTGTCTTAGGGTAAACTACTGAGACTCGGGCCTCTATTGAACTTGGCATAGTTGGGTCCTACATTTTTAATACCTCATTTTTGACTATTGGATGGATAGTCTTAGGAACCAACTCAGTATTTTGAAATCTGATAAGAAAAAAAACAGACATTTTTCTAGTTTTTCTGTACAGATTGCCTTTTACAGTAACAAATAGTTTAAGGGGACATTTTCTTCAAAGAAGTACTTTAATTTCGAACACAGGAAGAGCTGGCAGGCCACTCTAAAACCCTTCACCAGTGCAGGGATTTATAACTGTGGGCTGCTCAAAGAGTGCTGCGCCCCCTTGTGGACAGCTGTCTTGCTGCCTATAAATCAGCCTTGCCAAAGTCTGGAACTGACTTCTCTGTAGGAGGCAAGCGTTGTTGGGTGGAGAAAACACAGTCAGTGAGTTAGCAATCGTGTGTGATGGGTCACTTGGACTCACTGTACTCCTTTCTTTTAAACTTTTTTTGTTTATACTTGCAATTACCTTAACGTTTTGTTTTTAAATCTGTGCCTTGAAGTATTGGGCCATTGTTTAAGCTATTATTAATCTCTGTGACCTCCGTGTAAAACTTTTCTTATCTACAGATCTTGACTCTGTTATAACAAGATCTGGATATAGTTGATCCTCAAGTAGGAATAATCCCCAGGAGCCTAGCCCCCTGGGTCTTGCCTCATCTCCAGTTCAGGTCCTGAGACTGGCTGGGTTGGGGTGCCCCTTCAAGGAAGATTGTGGATTGCACACAAGCGGCCCCAATAGCTTAAGATTTATTTTCTTTATTTATACTTTAACAAAATTTTTTTCCTACCAGGCTTACATGAACAGTTTTATTATTGGCTCCAATTTTTGACTTTAAAGAAATAAATCATATTTTAAGAAATATATTGTAGTCATTACAAAAACCCCCATTGTTCCCCTTTATGCTTACCCAAATACACGTTCCCACCCCTCCATATCCTTATTCTAGACAGAAAGTTCAGAATGTTGCAGACTTAACTAAATACCAAGCCAGACACATTCTGAGTTCTAAGCATTTAGTACTGAACTTTTAATAAGAATGTGGCTCTTGGGATTAGTCTCAGATCACAACGTGTCAGGGCTGAAAACGCCTATGATACCAAGTTATCTGATAGGGCCTTGGAGGAGATGACCAATACAAAACCCGGATAGTTTGTGTTTAGTAAATGAAGACATGAAAGGCAGTATCAAATTGACTATAAATAGAAAAAGAAACAAGCTCAGGCCATAGTTACATTGGATTTCAAGCCATCTTGAATCTAGTATCCATAGATTCTTCTACAAATGATGCTTACAAGAATTATAATTTTCAGCCGGGCGGTGGTGGCGCACACCTTTAATTCCAGCACTCAGGAGGCAGAGGCAGGCAGATCTCTGTGAGTTCGAGGCCAGCCTAGTCTACAGAGCAAGTTCCAGGACAGGAACCAAAGCTACAGAGAAACCTGTCTCAAACAGACAGAAACAAACAAACAAACAAGAATTACAATTTTTAAAATGAATTGAATCCTTGGGTTCAATTTGGGGTTTCGTAATTCTCGGTGTACAATAGACTACTTCCCACATTGACAAATTAGTAAGTAGTCAATAATAATAATAAATGAAATTAATGTTTTCAAGAAAATATATTTCTTCTGCCACTGGATACTACCCATCGTGTCCCATTCCTTCTCATGACCTCAGACTGAAAAAAGAAAGCAGAGAGAGAGAGAGAGAGAGAGAGAGAGAGCCTGTTAAGACAGACTCGAACTCAGATGGACTGCAGAAGTGAGCTGACTTCTAGACTGTCCCACCAGATGGCACTCCCATCTGGAAAGTACAGCCAGAAGTGGAGGTTTGTCTAAGACCTGGGTAGCCAGCCTGCAAGCCTGGGAAAGGTATATGGCTTAGCGGGCAGAGAGAAGAAGCCAGGCAATGAAATGAAAAGGTGTCTGTTAGTAAACTTGCTTGACTGTGTCTGGTGAAAAAGAGTCTACACTCCCAGCTGTGTTTTTAAAGCACAGAAGAGAATTTGGTTTTTTTCCCTGGCAAGGTGTGTTAGAGAAAACAAAAAGACGAAGCCATGGATTTCATGGCTTTGTAGAAGGAAGACTAATCTGATGGCAATGCTTGGCTATAAGATTAAGTCCTGGTAAGAGATGGGCTGGCTCCACATCAAAATCTTCTCCCCTTCAGTCCCTACTAAAGAGCCTTGGGTCTTCACTTTAGGAACTGCTCAAGCCAAATGACTGAACATGAGATTAGTGTTTATAATTCCTTTAGCTCCCACAAAATTCTTCTATCTTATTCTTTTTGTTTTGTTTTATTTTATTTATTTATTTATTTAAGATTTCTGTCTCTTCCCCGCCACCGCCTCCCATTTCCCTCCCCCTCCCCCAATCAAGTCCCCNCCCTGTGGGAAGTCCAAGGACCACCCTCCTCCATTCAGGTCTAGT